TAACAAAACAATATTTCTTTTAGAGTCAGGGCTTGGCTTGGATTCCTGGTTGCTTTGTCCAAGCCCCAAAGGTACACACAGTCTGGCCTGTCCCTCCCTGCCAACAGGTTCCTCCAACCCTGCTCATGTCCCAGAATCCCACGCCAGACCCCCCGGTGCCATCAGCCCCTGCCCAGAGATGCTGCAGAAGGGCCAGGCTCAAGCTCCTCACAGCCCTGCCCAAATGTCTGAGGCTATCAAACACAGGCCACCACTGCTGCACAAAGCTCTACCAGCATTCCCATTTCCTCACGCCTGTGCTGTTCCTGCACTGAGCACAGGAGGGATTGAGATTTGAATGCCTGGTCACGGTGCTGTTCCAGTCTTGAGTCTTCCAGGCATACCTCTTTAGGATGGATACAGACAGTTGCACAAAGCTCATTCTAGATCCTGCTCCTCTATCAGTTTTATTGCAGGGTAGCATGATTTCTCTGTAGTGTTGGAGACTGATGTGAGAGAGCACTGGCACTGCCTCTGCCTTTGAAACACCATTCCACACAGAGTGCTGCAGAAGTCACATTGTGACAGCACCAACAGGAACAGGGTCTCTGCCTTTCAAAGGGTGCCTCTGACAAGAATTCAGGAAACCTGGCCCGTCTTACCCACCCCTTCAAAAGTAAGCAGACAAGCCTTCCTGAAGAGGAAAAGGAGGCTGTTAGTATTTTGTGGGCTGGGCACAGGCTACAAATGCTGAACAAAAAGAGCTCCAGCTGGGAGCAAATACTGCCAGGAAATTTTCCCCACTCTGTAATGCTGAGTAGAAGTACTGATGACTCAGTTTTTCAGGACTGCCATTTTCTACTAAGAAGGTCCTATTGGAAGGAAATTCAACAGCCTGTGGGGAAAAATGCAAGATTTCTCATGTGCACAAGAACCACCTGAAAGGCAAGGGATTCTAAAGCACTGCTTATCTATGGGCCCTGGCCTCGAGGCTGGCTATACAGAACCATCCCTGAATCCTCCTGTTTCTAATCCACCTGCTATTCCCCATGCCAGGGTACTGAGGTTGTGGTTCACTCCACATGCCCTCAAATCTTCAAACCAACAGTTAGAAAAACACTTATGAGACTTTCCCTTTCATCCTCTTGCCTCTGCCGGCTCTTCGCTTCTCTTTACTTCCTCATGAGATCTGGTGCTCTTTCCTCTATGACTGCTTACTCTCACTCCAACACCTGCACTTTCACATTGTAATGGATCTCCCCTGGACTCACCCTTCCCTCCTTTTCCACATCCTTTCCCCACCTCCCTGGATCTGTGAAGTCAATGAATACAACTATTTTCTGTCATTACTTTAAAGCAACTAAGTAGAAAAAGAAACTATTTCTATAGTACCTTATTCTGAGCCTACCAGTCCCCTCACTCGCCTGCCTATATAAACTAAAAGCTCCTCAGAAAGCAAAGTGCACTCAGATACGCTACCTGTCCTCCCCTGGCTCCCTTTCTGCAGTCCCCAAACCACCCATGGTGGTGTTTTGAACAACCTCTAGATGCCACCATGGACTTCACAGCTGGGGACAGGATCCAAAGTATTCTCTAGCTGCAGGTAAGCAAAGAGCCATGTATTGTGGTCAGTGCTCTTCTGTGATCCCTGGACACTGCTCTAGTGGAGTTCACAGCCGTATGACATGGAAGTTGCTTAAACTGTCGGATGTGGCTCATTCAGAAGAATCTCAGAAAAAACCAAAAATAATCACTTTTCCCCTTTGTTGCACTGAGTGATGTGGAGAAAGAGGGCTCCAATTCATTCAATGACAACTTCTAACTCCTGTACAGAACAGGATACAGTGTTATTACGTCAACTTTTACTGCAGTTATGGTATGAATTATACTATTACTGTAATAAATTAGGGATACCTTTGTCTCACAGTGAATAAAACCAGCATTTTAAATCAGCTGTTTCTACTTCTGAAGTTAAAGTAAGGTTACTTATTTCCTGAAAGCACCTAGAATCGATTCACATGAGATTCTTAAACCACACATAGTTACCTTTCCAAATTCCAAAAGGAATGTGGCCACATCCCCAATTGAACATGGAGATCATCAAGATTGCAATATATGTGGTATTCAAGTGTAATGAAGTTTCAATGTATGGATGTTCTCCCTTGTTTTAACTTTCCCTTAACATGTAAGATGCTATTTTTTGTAATCTAATGCACTTCAGTGTACACTACACTTCTCCTCCTATTACTCCTTTCTTCCTTCCTCTCAATGATATTTGTTTTCTCTCCAATTTCCCTCTTCTTGCTCGTTTTACATTATTTCCTGGCTTAACCAGTTTGATTCATTAAACTATGCTCTCCATCCTTCTGTCTTCCCCATGACACATGTTTTTACCCACCACCAAGCAAATTTCTTCACATTTGTCCTATCTCTTTATCACCAATTCTTGGGGTGGCAGCTTTAAAGATAATGTTACACATGATATTCTTTTTGTCTCCTCAGACTGTGTACTTGCTGGACATAAAATTTTTACTGGACACCCATGCTTACACAAGCATCTCCTCTTATGGGGATTCAAGGGGGCTAGAGGTGCAGATGTGTGTCAGTCTGCTGTCTCCTCTTTATATGAAGGCCTTGCCAGTTTTTTTGAGGATGGAACCAGGTCCACACAGATGTGTGAAAAAGTGATTATAGTGTGGGCAGACACAGCTCTAAGTAAGGTAGCACATGCAATGGTACAGGTGCTGGAGGCATCAAGGAGTCATCAGTGCAGGCTAGCGCTCAGAGTGAATATTAATCCTGGAGTCCCTGGGGGATTCTGGTCCAGTTTTCAGCTGCAATCTGACACAAATTGCTGTCAACACCAGAGTAACTTAGGTAAAATCTAGTACCTGAGCCACAATTGAGCCTTCAGTCTCTTCTGTAAATGTACGTTGGAAGACTTTGGTGACAGAACAGTCTTTGTGCATTAAACCTGGAATATGCCTGTGCATGCCAGGGGCAGACCTAGAAGGATTATGGTAGTTGGCTAACAGCATCTGCAACTACTCTGCTACTGCCAGACTTATAAACAGGACAGAAACTTAAACAAGTTTTTTTCCTTTTTCTTTAGTCAGCTGGAACCTGAACTGAGCTGCATCCTGTCTCACTTCATCTACCTGTTTCTAGTATTAGTATTGATGAAAAATACAAGTATGAACCCTGCTAAAGTGTTCTCAGCTAAAGCTGAGGTGCTTCCCTTACAAAAGTGACAGACATTGCAGAGTCTTTTGCTCTTGGGAGTGCACACATTGAGTAGGAAGGAAAGCTACTGCTCTGACCAGGGGAAGAGCCAAAGGTGTCTGCCATATGAGAGTAAAACCGTGCACAAGGTCATAATTTTTTAAAGGTGTGAACCAGCTTCCCTGCTCAGTGGAGCGCTTTTGGGAATAACAGTCAAGGAAAATGCTACATCCGAAAAATAATTCTTGGGAGATATTGGACAACTGGGGTAAGAGAAATTCTGCTTGGAGAAAGTAATCAAAAAAAGGCTCTTAACTGCACATGTAGGCCCCAGGGATGTGAGCTCCTCTAGCCCAGCTTCAGGACTTTAGGCATTATCAGCCCTACTCACTGCTTTCTTGAGCAGAGGAAGGAAGAAAGCAAGCAATATTGACTTTGCAGCACATTTAATGGACTGCCAATGAAAGCTAGAAATGACAAGCTTATCTGGCCACATAAAGGACAATTTTTAAGGCTCATGCATTGCTTTACGCAGCTCAGATCTAACAGAAGAGGAAACAACGTGTATAAGTAAGCAGAGAAAGAAAACTTGCTCTAACTCCCTCTAATCTCAAATCCTAGGTTTTCAAATAAAGCTTTGTCCCTTATTTCTGGTAAATGGAATCCTGAAATTCTCAAAATCTGATATCCTTTTATTTTTTCAGTGTCATTTTAGAACTGAGAGGGTGGCATTCATTTTATTTGTGCTGTCCCTCCTCTTTGAATCTGAGGTTGCACACCCATAAAGCAATCACTAGTGGAATGAAATCAGTTTTCACAAGCAGTAGTCCATGTTGCCAACTTTATAAAACTGCATGTTCTTGGGAAAAGGTTTCAGAATCAGGATGTAGATTGTAGAGAATGTACAGTTGGGATGACATATTGTAACTAAGTAACTGTGACATAATACAGTTTCTCCATGGCATCACAGAAAGCGAGGCTGCAAAAAGGGGATTTAAACTGAGGGCATGGGTAGTAGCGCACAAAAAAATCACAATTTGAGAGTACAGTTCCATTCGAAAGGCACTATGCTGTCAGACTCCACATTTCTTTAAAGAAATGGGTTTTCAGTGACACTAATTTTTGACCACGCACCATACTAAGCTGTAACAACAAAAAAATTATAGTAAGGCAATCGTCTGCGTAAGCAGAGGCTCCATCATCCAAGCATACATTGAGAAAACTGGTGCGACAGCCTGCATGGATTAACAGCAAGCGGGCAGGCACCTTCTTCCTTGTACACACAGCAACCCGCTGCCTCGGGAAACGGGATGCTGATCCAGTATCTCACCAGAAGACGACATATTTGTTACAAATCCCGTTTTTCCAGAAGCCTTCGGGCCACTTGTAACCGGCGGGAACGCCCAGGAGCAACACATGTGTACCCCGCCCGGTGCCCTCCGCGCCGCCGGGGGCGCTGTGCCGCAGACCCGCCCGCCTCACGCGGGACCGCTCCGCCCTCCCCGACACGCGCTCAGGAAGTGTCGGCCCCGCGCCTCCTGCGAGGCCCCAGGCCACGCCCCCCGCCGCGCGCTCTCAACCAATCAGCGCGCCCGCTTTCGGCCCCGGCGCGTCTCCCGTCCCTTTAAGGAAGTGCCGCGGCTGCTGATTGGCTGCGGGGCCGAGCCGCGCCGCGGGAGCGGTTCCTAGCGCGGGGCGCGCTCCCGGGCCGCCCCTCGGGAGCGCGCCTGCCAGGGGGGCCGCACCTGCAGGCGGGGCGGGACGGGTGCGCCGGCGGGAGGCGAGCGCGGAAATGCTGCGGTGGCCGGGGCAGCGCAGGTAGCGTCCGGGTGTCCGCAGGCATCCTTCCTCCCCTCCGTGCACCCGCCCCCAGCACCGCGAGCCTGACCCCGGCGGCCGCGCCTCCGCCCCGGGATACCTCTGCACCTGGGGCGTGCCCGCCGCCGCCGCCCGGGGGATGGCACAGCCGGCGGAGGAGGGGGCGTGTGCCGGCGCCGCCGCGGCGCCGGGAGACGACGGCGAGGAGATGAACGGCAGGAAGGTGGCTCTGATCACCGGCATCACCGGGCAGGTAACGGCGGGGGCTCCCCTCGTTCGAGTGCCCTCCCGGCGGCGCAGGGACAGGGGATGGGGGAGACCCGCCGTCACTGAGGCCGTGCATGGGAGCGGCGGCGGTGGAGGGTTCAGCGTGGGTCTGCCCGGCGCCTTCGCTGGCTGCGGTGACCCTCGCTCCTTCCCTTCTCCCTCGCTCCCTCCTTCCCTCCCGGGCCCCGGAGCGCATCCCCGCGGGTGCGTTTCCAGCACCGTGCCCGGTGCCCGCTTCCCCGCACAGTCCGCGCCGCTCTGGAGCTTCCCCTGACAGCCCTTAGCAGGGTCAGGGGCGGACACACCGCCCCGTGGGTAGGGCTTGTTTGCCCCCGGAGCATGGAGTGTTCTTCAGCCGGTGTGTGCGAGGCGGGGAGGTGCAGTGCTTTTATGTCTCGGATTTGGACTGTTGTATAGTAACCTGTACCAGGATTTCCTGAGAAATCAGCTAAACCTGTACTGAGATGAAATGTGAAGGGAACATCACTGAGAAAGCAGCCGCACCTAGAAAAGGCAGTATAAGGAGCCAGTGCTGGGACTCTTAATCCTGATGGTCTGCAGTGGGGAAGGTAGCAGTGCAAATGTGAGGCATCCTGTCAGCGGATTTGGTCCCAGCAGACTTGTTTTGTCACCTCTCGCTTTGACACACTGGACAGCCGTGCATTTACAGTCAGTACCTCCTTTATACCCAAATCCGAATGGATGACAAAAGCATCTCCCCAGGCTACTTGTTTTTTATTCATGTATGTTCATTGCAGTTTCTAGTTTTTTTGGCTGTATTACTTTTAGGGATAATGATGCTTTCAGAGTCCTGGTGCTTTGAGCAGAAGGTGCAGGAGAAAGGTGACATGGAAAGAAAAAGAAATCAGTTTCCCTTGGAGCACCTTCTGTTTGGTGAAAAAAGATGTACTGATGGTGAGTTTCACCCTGGTAAGACATGCAGGAGGGTTGATATGTGCAGTTTGTGGCTTGTGCTGCTACTTTTCCAACAGGCAGCTTAGATAGTTGGTTGGATTGTTTGTGCACACATTGCCCTATGTTTGCTGGCAAGTGGGTGCTAAATGAAAGTTGTCCTGGACAGACTTAGTCATATTTGAGGAACACCCTATTTGCAATGTAGATACTGCACACTACCTGGAAAAGTTTGCTCTCCTTCACTTTGCTTATCTCTTGGAATGTGCTGGTACTGAATGACTTCTGCTTGAAGGGTGCATGTCCTGTGATTGGTATAACCTGTTAAGTAAGTAATGTATAGTTACCATTAATGCTTATTTTGGAATCCCAGTGGAACAGCATTTTTCCTTTATGTCTTGCTTTTAATTAGTGACAGCTTCATACATGGAAGAACTTCTTCCCCTTCACCTGTGACTTGTCCTGGTATGCTTGCAGATCCACTGTGAGGTGCTTGTGTGGGCTGTTTAGAAGTCCATGAGCATTGTGAAAAAATACGTGTCAAAATGAAGATGTTGCTCTTTCACTCTGAGACAGTGTTAGTCAGTGCTTGCTCTCTCTCACTGCTTTTTTTTTTTCTCTCTTTTTGGTAGTAGAAGAGCCATTGGGACTTTTGTGAGGGACTAAATCCAGAGGCAATATGGTGTCATAGCAGTTTTCATCTGTTATCTAGGAGAACCTGCACTATGCTTTGAACATTCACCCACTGTTTGTGTTTCACCTCATTATGCCTGTTCTCAGGTGTTCTTGCCACACTTTTTGGTGCACTTTTCCCATGGGTTAGCAGCTGTGTGCCAATAACGGTGCTGAGGAAAGCCCTCCAAGCACCTCTCTGACAAGATTGTAACTGAGAAGAGGAAAAACTAATGATCTCTGTATACTAACACTTTTGCTTGATGTTTGTTTTTAGCAAGAGCACAGTCAGAGCTTTCCCAAGGACTACTTTGGTGCTGTGTGAAAAGTCTTCCAGGTTGTTGACAGAAGTACATTTCTCTTCATCAAAGGTAGTAAGTTAGAGGCCTGTAGCTACAATGCCATGATTCTTTCAATACTGTGTTCTCTATGTTACTTTCTCTATTTTCAAAGCAGCTCTTCCTTCTCAGCTTAACCTTTGCAAGGCATATTATTTAGCATTGGAATGTGTGGAGACCCAGAGCTAGTAAAGGCCTGGGATACATGAAAGTTAGCCAGAGAGGTGGGCTTCCTTAGTGAGGACTGTGCCAACTCTTGGCTTAAGATGAAAGTTCTATGTAGAGTGTGGCCTCTTCTGGGGTCCTGTAGTTCTCCATGATTTTGAGATCTGCTGCCAGGAATCCTAGTCCCTCTTTTCTTAGATGAACTTTAAAGAAAGTAACCATAGTACTTGTTCCTTACCATCTTTCACTCCCTTTCTTTATTTTTACGCAATAGCTTTTGTTTTATTTGGAGAGGCCTCACCCAGAAATGGGACACTTGGATTTTGTTTATCTGAGAACAGGCAGACTTGCATGTCCCCCTCCCTGGAGAAAATCCTAGTGCCATATGTTTTCAAAGTTAATTACCATGTGTAAAATGTAAAAATATGCTGAAGTGGAAGCTAGAGCTCAGGCTTTGTCTTTCCCAGGCAGTTACTTCAACTATGGGGCTAAAGAGACTCGGTTTGTTTTACATTCTTCCTTGAAAGCGGTGCTCCTTCAAGGTGGGAGATAAAGGTTTAGATCTCTTCAGACTGAAGATGATATAGAACAGAATCAAGTGGTAAACTCCCCTTACTTAAACTGAGCTCTTTCTGCTACTGCAAAAGGTGAGCTGGCACAGTTGCATTGTATAAGGAACCTGCTTTTGTTTATGTGTGGCTAGTGTACTCTGAGAATATTTGCTGAACTAAGGCCCTGAAACAAGAATAGGTGGGAGGTAGGTACTGAGCTAACAGGACCATGACAATTACAGGCAAATGTGCAGTAGTACTTTTGTTCTTAGAGCATTCTTGGACCAAGGAAGGTGCTGCTTGAACTGTAGCAGCCCTTCCTGGGTTAAGGGCTACTGACAAAAGATGGAATTTTCTTTCTATGATGGAGAAAGAGTTGAGTTCAGGTAGGGTTATGGTTTGATAATGGGGAAATGACTGACGATGCAACTTTTAACTGAAACATAACAGGGAGATATGGTACAACTGTGACTTCTGATTAATGGACTTTTAATGGGATTCATAAGACCTTACAGCGTGCCAGAAGAGGATGGGCTGTCTGCACAGTTCCCCTGTATAGTGAGTGACTGGAGATATGTGCTGTTTGCCTGCTTACTGCACCAGTTGACAAAACCAGTTCTGGTGACTTGCTTTTCTTCTAGATACAATATGTTAAAAGGACAGGTATCTGCAAGGGCAAATGTGTTACTGGTAGGAAAGTGAGTTTGTGACCTTTGGCCACATAAAAGGAAGAGTTTGCAATATGCATGGTGAAGCCACAAAGGAAAGCAAATTTCTTAATTGTATGGTCAGGACTCAAACACCGTTCTGGCTACAAGGGCTGAACCTTGATTTCTATGAAATCAAAGCAGATGTATGAACCTCTACAAATCCTGCATTCGCCTGTGGAGTTACAGTGAAATCGGTATCATTCTACCACTTGCATTACTGATAAGAGACTCTAAGCACATAGGCAGTGGTGTTATATACTCCTTTTGCAGTATTGAGATTTCCCTTATCTTCTTTCTCACACCACAGCAGTGGGATGAACCACACTTTGCTTTTTTTTTTTTTTCTTTTAAATAACTTCCAGAGTGAGCCAGTTGCTGTGGTTAGATGGATGAAACATTTCTGAAGTGTCATGTAGGTATTGGTCTGCTGGCAGACTACTTGTGAGTAATGCATAGCACCTTTTTCTTCATTTAAAGAAAAGTATTTCAAATAAAACAGGCCTGTTGTGTGTATTAAAGCAAAACAAAACAAACCTCAAATGTGACTCTTATTGGAAGAGTGCTTTCACAATGCAATATAGATGTGCTGGACTTTTCAAACCTTGGTACCTTGAAGAATTATTCTGTAAAAATGGGAATTTTGAACACCAGTATTACTAACAATGTAATTCTAGATATGCAAACATGGCTTGTCACTTATTTCTGGAAACCACTAAAGCAGTACTTTTTGACAGCATTGTTTTCTAGACATTGTGACTAAATGTCTGTTAAAATTGCATTTAAATATCTCTTTAGAATGTCTGATTGCACTGCAATCAGTCTGACTGACTTTCTAAAAACTGATGCTTTGTAGAAGCATTTAGATATTTGACTTTTTGGAGAAACACCGAGAAATAATCTGTCTGAGCCTAATGATGAGGTTATATGTTGATGTTTCTATTTTCCCCACTCAGTTCCTGGATTATGAGCAGTAAATGTCGTCTCTGATTCTGTCCTGATTTACTTGGAGAGACAGGAAGGTAAGAGTTTGAACACTGAGATAATTCAACAGGCACTTGCAAAGCTCAGTTTTGAATGAAGAAATGCATTAGAGCTCAGTGCCAGTATATGCCCAGAGGGTATTGCAAATTGTAGATAAAGAAATCAGTTGCATTTCTGTCTTGTGAGAGTTCTTACTGCAGCTGCATTAGAACCAGCTTCTGTTCTCTTGCCTGCAGTTCTGTCAAATAAAACTTCCATTTGGCAAAACTTAAGGTAGCAACCTCAGAACGTTGAACTAAACTCTAAGATAGTGTAAAATACAACTGACAGAAGAGTGTGGATGAAGAAATATAAGAACATTCTTTTGAATTGGGTGATGTAGGTAAAGTTTGGGGTCTGCCTCTGTCTTTCTGGTATCAGAAGTTCAGTTGCTTACAGCCTTTGCTATTCCTGTAACACACCAAACCCCTATATATGTGTACTGCAAGTTTGATGCAGGTGTTACAGTTCATAGTTTGAAAAAGGTTAACTGTATCAAAAGAGGGGGGAAAGATACTGAGGAAGCAAGATTTGCGGTTGTGAATTGAGGTTAAATAGTTTTGTTTTGTTTGTTTTTTTTTTTTTTAAATTTGGCTGTTGAGATGAAACCAGACTCCATGGGGCAAAGTATCGATAATAAGAGAACATCACCTATTTGTTTCTTCTTCTTTTTTTAATACTAAGAAATAAGTAATATGGAGTGTGGCTATAAAACTCTTTAATATGTTGTGGCTAAAATAAATTTGTTTCTTGGAGAAGAGTTGTAGAGGAAACAGTTTAAAGTTTTTTGAAAGCTTCTTTCAGTATTGCCATAAAGTGGTGAGGTGGGAATCTGTGTCACTGGGGAATGTGTATATACGTGAAAAACAGATGCAGAGAAACATTATAGCCTTTTGTGCCAGAGACAGGACATTGGTTTGCCCGGTGAAGGATAAAATTGAAAGGATTGCTTTTCTGCATAGAAATAGGAGGACAATTTTTGCTGACACTGACTAAACCTAAATATTAGCATTGCTGCATTTTCATTAAAGCAAATAGCCTTCTGGCTAAGGTTAAATATTAGTATTGTTGCCTTTTCATTTAAACAAATATTGTCTTCATTGAAACCAGGTACAGTATCTCAGTTTGTCTCTGAGTAGCCAGGAGTTGTCTTGAGTGAGAATTTCAGGTGTGTTGAACATCCTTATCACAGTTTGAGGATACAGAGATTTATGAACACTTGGGTGCAAACTGAACTACAAGAAACTTCATTTAAACTTGAGAGGGTATGTATTGTTTGGGGTTGGTTTTTTTTGATTGTGTTGTTGTAAATGATGAGGGGAATCAAGCACTGGAAGAAACTGCCTGGAGAAGTTGAGTATCTGTCCCTGGAGGTATCCAGAACTAAACTGGACATGGCCCTAAGCAATCTGCACTAGTTGACCCTGTCTTGAGCTGGGTGATCCACAGAGGTCCCTTTCAATGTAAACTTGTATGATTCTGCATCTCTTCCACAGTATTGGAAGTTGAACACCTGCAGTTTGTGAAAAGATGGCATAAGTGGCTTTTTGAAAACTTTGCAACAAATGAATAGTGGCTCTGGCATGAAACCTAAGCTTACCTAAGACATAATTCCAGGTCTTTTCCTTTTACAGGATAGAAATAAGAAGTGTTGCTATTGACTTTTATCCGAAACTCTTGAGGAAAAGGTATTTTGTTGAAAAGTAGTATAACAAATACTGAAAAGGGAGACTAGAATATTATCTGAAAACAGAGGTCCTATTTGCAGAAAGATACCTGAATTTTGATTGCCTTGACTCCCTTTTGAAGAGAGGAGGGCTACCAGATAGTCTAATTCAACTAGTGTATTAATAGCAATCTATAAATACATGGTTCAATGCCTTACTCTTTCATATGTGTTTTATACTCTACAACATTTGCAGACTGATGGGACTTTTGTCTTCTCTGAGAACTGGGAGTCTGGGACTTAGGCTGGTCTGTGCCTGCCCAGATGAGCCCAGCTGTATTCCATTGCCTTTCAGAACTGTGCAGTTAATGTTGGCATTTGAACGTAAGTAAGCTAGAAGAAACTAATGATAAAAAGTATCACTTATACAGGATTAGTTCATGTGTGTCTTGATGTATTAACTTCCGTCTTTGTACAGCTTTGCTCAGTGTTTGTGGCTGCCAATTAAGTCTATTCTTTAGCTGTATACTAGAGAGGGAAGTTCTGGTAGCCTGGCTCAGCTAGCAGGCTTTTAACGTGAAGACCAGTACAGTCAATCTGATTCCTTTGTGTTTGAACAGGATATATACAGGATGTGGATCAAAAAACATTGTGAACAGCAAGCGAATTATAAGGTACTGTATACTATGATGTGTACCTGCTGTGAAAGTAGATAAAATAGTGAAAATATTCCAGGAGAAATAAAATATTAAAGTTCACGTTAATGGTGTTAAGATATGAAACAGATAGACACATGGTAACCAAACTGAGTTTGGGAAGATGACTTCCTTCAAGCAACATTTCTTATGAAGGTTTCTAACGCTGTGGATAGGGGTGCTATTGCCACTGCTGCCCAGACTGACAAGAAGAACAGAATATCCTATTGCTAGCAGCATGCTTCTTGCTTAGTCTTTATCTGTTGGTTTTGTTTTTTTTAATTTAATGAAGATTGGTGACTGTTGGCATAGACAGAACCTGTATTTCTTTTTTTCCTAAAGTTTTAAAGAGCTGAAGCATTGTCTTCTCTAGGTATGTACAGCCAACCCAATCTGAATAGAGAACTCCTGTAAAAATCTCTTCCCTCTGACTTCATCTTCTCCCACTAACTTTTGGTCTTTTTTTCCCCTCTGATTGTCTCTTTCAGATCATTTTGACTGTTGAGCTTTCTGCACAAGGGAGCCAGTTTCTTAGAAAATAAATAGCTATGCAGAAGGGCAAGGAAAATGGAGTGCTTGATCCTGCCGATGGCCTATGTGAAGAGATACTGTGAAGGTTACTACTCTGATCCCTATAAATAATAAATAAAATGTTGAATAAAAGGTTTTTCAGTGCATTTGTGATACTGGTATTCATCCTAGTGGTGCTTCCTGTTGCCTTCACCTCATGTCTTTGAGGAGTACCAAGGCTGAGTTTCTTTGCACTTACCTATACTTTAATTTAGTTTGAGGGGCAGGGAGTACTTTCTCTCTCTTGGAAATTTCTAGCAACTTTATCCCAACTTCTTGAGAGTTCTGGGTCTAGAGTAGCATCCTGATTAAGTAACTTCTTACAAACTTGTCAGCTCAGTTTCTCCTACACTGTTGCAGCACAACTCAGGTTTATTTTGGAAAGCATGGTTTCCTTGAAGCACTGAGTGAATAATGGCACAAGAGCAGGTCGTCAGCATGGTAGATGTCCAATTTCCTCTTTCACGGGTATATGCTCTCTCTTGCTCTAAATCTCTTGCTACTTTGGTTGCTTTTTGGCCAAGTGAGCAAAATAAAAGTTTTTTTTCTTTACTATTTTTGCTACCTCCTTCCTCTTTCATATGAGTCCACTGGTTTGTTTCCCCCCCCCCCGCCCCCTAAGAACCTCAGCTGAGGAATTCCTTTGGATCATATGTATATGAATTGGGGGATGCAGTTAAGTCCAAAACTTTCAGTTAAGCAAAACTGTAGAAGGTGAGGTGAAAGAGTGGAATTCTCTCCTGTTGCCTGTTATTATTACTGGAAAGTCCTTATAGCTTGTTCCTTTCTGGGTGTGCACAGGCTTTGCAATCTAAATCCACAATGAACCTTTTGTAAAGCCTGCCAAACAAGTTGATGTAAACTAGCTTATCTTGTATCACCCATGCTTTTTACATGTGGTGTTAAGCAACTGAACTTCCTCAGTGTAAATGTTGTAACAATTTTTCTTTAGTCACAAATATGCACAAAGCAGTGTACCTAAGGCGAGCTTCCTTCTTCAGGAATATTTCCTGTTAAAGTCTCCTTTCCTCTTCTTTTTTATTATTTTTTTAATGGGAAACTTGAATTTTGATTTGTAACTCAACAGTGTCATCTGGCAGTAATCAAATTAAGTCTAACATGACTTTGATCTGGTTGCAGTTAGTTCAGTAATAAGTACCATGGAGGAGCATTTGATACTGTACCCTAAAATGACTCCATTTTGTTGAATAATGGTACAACTTGCCTTGTACAGTCAAATTGGTCAGTTAGGTGTTGTGATATTGTCAGCTACTGTGTTGTGATGCTCAGAAGCACAGTGATCCAACAGATATGTCAGCTGCAAAGTTGTACTTGCCTTGGGTGTGGAATGCCATAGATCTTGGTGTTTTGCAAAGAGTTTCCAGGTAGGTAAACCAGCTAATGCTGCATTTGCCATGCTTGAACACCTTCAAAATAACAGGAAGAAAATATGCTAGAAAAATCTGCCTAACTATTAAATGTAGTAAGATATAGTCAAAATTTATGAAATGTTTCTGTAGGACTTTGCTTTAGCTGTCATTTGACCGATTTACTGCTGCTTGGAAGTTCTTCTTAAAGGAGAATTCGTACAGCCTGTGTGATGAATTCTAGTGCAGAAGCAAAAAATTTGCCGTGTTAAACGTCTGAGTGCTTTTGCTGTAATGAGAAGATGCCTTGTTTCTGCTGCACATCTGATACCTGCATAGCTATTACATATGTGCCTCTTGGCTCTTGGTTATACTGTCAGGTATCCTGTAACTATTCTTGTGTATTCATAGGCAGCTTGAGGTAATGTGTCTCCGTACTGCAAAGGAAGCCTTAACCCACCCAACTCCCAATTTACAAAACAGTAGACAGTTCTTTTGTTTGTATCCTATGATGTCTGAACCCATGCCAGAAGTAGCTTGAGGATATTTACCACTTTATGAATGGAAATAAGCCTTCCCAAGGCATATAGATTGGTATATATGTCTTGCAGAACATAAAACCCTAAGTCAAGCAGGAAATACTCCTGACTGTTCCTATTTTTATGCTTCTAGTTTGATATGCTGCAGTCCTTCCTGACTGCTACTCTAGGTCTTACCTGTAAACTTCTGCTGGTGCTATTCTGGAACTGGGTAGCAATATCTGACCATTTAAGTTGCTACTTATCAAATTGCAGGCACACTGTAGTGGGGTGTGGTTATTTGGTCTATTTTTTTCCTAACATTTGTTTGGCGCATGCAGACTGTTTAGGTGCATTAGCAATGGCTGGGCTTAATCAGTGATACTGGCGATGACCCACAGCTTCCTTTTGAGATTTCTCTTTTGGAAAGATAAGGGACACACACACTATCTTTGGCTGTGGATCAGTGTCCTTCCCTTTTTTTAGCACTGATACCACTCTCTAAGAGCATAAACATTACTGTGGAGCAGGTTTGGTTTTGAAAACTGAAATTTCTGGCTACACTTTCTGGATTTCGTGCAACTAAATAATTGTGGTTTTGATGTCAGTGTAATTCTTTCCATGATTACACAGTAATAGTCTGTCAATGTATTCCTGCCAAAATTGAGCATGCTGTTTGCCTCTGAAATTAAATACTATTAAAATACTACAAGATAAACAGTATAAAAGGGACACAGAACTCTTCAGGCTTGCATGCAAAATATTATATTCTTCCACCTTTTAGGTGCGTTTTTGAGGTGACTGTGTTGCATGGGAATACTTAAGAAGGTACTGCCGAGAGGCTTTTTGCTGGTGCTCATTTGGCTGTTACTGGTCAAGCATTGATCTGCTGAAACCCAGGCCTGGTTTGTTATCGGCAGACCTTTACAGATTCTTTGCTAATGAGTAATTTTTTTCCCCTCAGTGTTCTCAATGATACTGGAAGCTGTTCCAGAATCTGGTTGGCCTTTGAAGAGCAGTGGTACTCTGTGGTTGTAGATCTGCAGGCAAAATAAAGTTGGAGAGTTGTTCTTGGCATGTGAGGGCAAGGAAGTTATGAAGACTAAGAGTTAAATTTTGCTTTACGCCCTTGCTAATCCATTTTAGGAGAACAGTTATGTTTGTAGCTGATCAGAGACTGAAAACTTACAACCGTGGGGTTTTGCTTCATGTATTTGATTTATTAAAATTCTTAAGGTCACCTGATATACATTAAATATTTCTATGTTCTTATTGCAGCACTTTATAATTGAATGTATAGTGCAACTGTTTCAGTCATTTTTCTGCACTTTAAAGTGAGAAGAGGATTTTTTTCTAATTTGAGAATTTTCTGTTATTTAAGAATAAAATAAGATCATAAGACTGACTGTATCTCCAAAATGACACTTGCTGTATTTTCATTGTGTTTTCACACTCTTCTCTTTATGCTGGCTCAATATTTAGTCATGTTTAAAAATCATCTTTGTGGAAATGCATTATTATGCTGATGTTTTTGATTTGTGAAGTCTAGATAGAACAAATATTTACATTGTCTGTTGCTTTGCTTGTTTAAACATTATGAGTGATCAGACTTCTTAAAATTGGAGAGTAACTCAAATGGGGAAATTCCTTATAGAGTGCAAGTCAGCTCTGTCACATGCAAACTATCAGTTTTAGTCATACCCCGAGATCTCACATCTGTCTGTTGCCTTGATCAGTTAAAGGGAAGTGTAACACAGACTTGGCAAACTGAAAACAAATTTAAGACTACTAAAATTTCCTAAGCAGTGATGCTGTGGTTTTGATTTTGATAAATCGAGAGAGCTGTAAAATTATGGTTATTTTTAGTGAACATGAAGATGTGTAAAGCAGGAAATGAGCGTGCACATGTGTTTAAAATACGTTAACTGGTGGAGAAGCTGCATAACGAGTATTTGCAGTGGTGGACATACAGCTTACTCTTGACATTGGTTAAGTAGGTTGAGTTTCTCAGAATTACTTGGTGTGACTTCAAAATATGATAGTGAACTTTCATTAATTACTTGAATCCATTTCATTTCCTTTGTACAAGCAGGTGTTACTGGTGATGGATTCTGTCATCTTGGGTAGGAACCTTATTGCTTAGCTGTTTCAATACCTGAGCAAGCTGTCTAGGCATCTGTTTCAGTGAGTGAGAACCCTCTAGCTGATTGAGAGGCCAGGCATATTTGAGCAAAGGCAAGTGCCTACCTTAGGAAGCCTGATGCTGTGAATTGCATTGGCTATAAGCCTATCTCCTCTGCTGGGTGTGAAAGGTGCTTAGGGTGGCTACCTGATGGGGTTTATACTTCTATTGTCCTGAGTAGCACTTCATCTGGTTATGAGGGAGCACTTTTTTAATCCAAAGCACTTTATAGGATTAACAAAGGTGATAGAGTTTGATTACTTGTATTATGTCTTGTAGTAAAAAGAGCATATGGTTCAGTACATGTGTTTATATGCAATTAAAGAAATGGGGACTGAGTACTTGTACTGCTCCTGTGAGTCTGCTGCTTTGGAATTGATCTGAAGAGGAACTGTGCTGCCAAATCCCTACTTGCTGCCTGAGCACCCTCTGCACAGCACTGCAGCTGCATTGTCACTGCTGTCTTCTCTGTCCCTGATCCTTTTTCCGTTTGAGGAACCAACCAGCATGTTTTGATTTTTCAGCTTGCCTGGCCTCAGTAACGTGTCTTATGTTGCTCTCTATCATGTGTGTACTGTGACTTTGATGTTAAACCATGCTTCCAGGCAAAAATGTAATGGCTTTACTTCCAAAACTCTCTGGAGAATTTGGGTATTTTTTTTCTATCGGTTTACTGAGACTGTGGCACTTTGGTGTAAGTTAAGGACTGTCCATCTTCCTCTTGTAAAACCTCCCTATAATTACTTACAAATGTTGGCAGCTACTGTATTGCCTCTGTGTGTTGAAGGCCAGTTCATAGCTGTGGATGGTAAGAAAAGAGAAAGAGTGGCCAAAAATCAATTATTAAGAGAGACTCTTTTGAAGGAAGTACAAACTCACATTCCTAATGAAGTTTTATAAGCCATTCAGTCTGCTGAGTCACCAATTTGATCGAGAGCCGTTTTTGACTTTCAGTCTGGTGGTTTCCATGATTAATTTTTTTTTTAAATTGCTTTCACTAAGAAATAATTTGAACTTATGGGAGTGGCAC